TCCTTCCCTGTGCCCGCCCTGTTGACTCCAGAGGGACCGCGGGCAGCGCTGGGTGCGCGGGGAAACCCCACAGAGCCATTGCCTTGAGCTCGGGGAGAGAGCTCCCGTGCTTCCTACAGAATCCGAACCTTGTGCTTACGTGTGGAGTTTTGGTTCTTTGTTGTTTGTCTGGGAAGAGGGGGATTGTTTGTTTTTTTGAGGGGGTGAAACGTGGAATAAAGCAAGATCGCTTCTTTGCTGCTTCTGCTTTTCCCCAACATAGAATTCAGCTCCAACCACAGCTAGTTCCAAATCCTGATGCTACTTACAGTACCTGAGATTACCGCTCATGTTATTGGACCACACGCTTTTATTCTAAAAATGCTGTCGTGCAACGAAGTTTTTTCAAAGCACATGTTCTTCTTTTTGTCATGGAAACTCAAGTTCCTTCTGCTTTTTGGCTTTGTCGGCTAGGATGTGGTAAGCTGGAGAGCAAAGATGAAGGATGCGCTCCAGCTTCTGACACTCTTTGTCATTGCCTGGGCCTGTTCCCCAGGCAGGAGGAGTTCCTAAACACATACAGAGCACCCGAAGGCACAGCAGCCACTGAAATTAACATTTAGCTTGTACAGTCTGAGGATTCTGTGTTTTAGGAAAAGGGAGAGATATGTGCATCTCCTAAGCACCAGCCTGAGTTTGCAGTAATGAGCACATGATTGAGAATTGCTGAGAGTCATAATTATTGCTTTGACCTGAAAAGGCCTACATGTCATGTTAAAGGTGATGCAGATAATACAAATAACATGGCTTAAAATTAGGTTTGAAGTCCTGACTTTCTGTTCTGTAGCACACTGCAGTGGTTTGGTAATCCAAAAACAAAACCCTGTTGGATTCAGGAGTGACCAGAATTAACCAAAGATCTCATGTTTTCATTTAAATCACCTGAATACTTTAGAGTTTTGACTGCCAGTTTAAATTACTTCCTTAAATTAAAAACAGGTGGGAAAACCCAAATTTGAAACTTACCCATGCACTCATATCCCCACCTGGACACTGCTGGAGAAAACATTAATTCTGTTAAACAAGGTAGCCTTCTCAAATAATTTTGTTTGCTTAAAGTCAGGTCTTTGTGGAGATTTATTACAGCCTGCCAGTTTGCTTGCCATAAACATATTCCCTGTTCCTGCTTTTCCAGTTCTTGCCTTCATTTTACAGTTTCGTAAGAATCCTTGTGATGGCCGAATGTTGTTCAGTTTTGTGACCCACACGGGGTGTAGTGTCACACGGGGCAGGAAGGCTTCCTTTGGCAGTGTCTGGCTTAGGAATCCCGTAGGAACAGCCTCCTCACAGCAAGGATTTCCACCCAGGCCTGTTCAGCCTTGGCTCCTCACTGGTAACTGTGGCAGAGCTTATCCAGGGTGATTGTGAACCATCTGCTTTTAACTGCTCTGGGAGTGCAGGGCAAACAGGCCGTGCAGGGCAGTGGAGAGCCTTCAGAGCATGATCATTTGCAGCCCTGTGACTGAATCATGGATTGCTTGGGTGGGAAGGGACTGCACCTCCTGCCTGAGCCCAGGGTCAGCATCCTCAGGCTGCTCAGAGCTTTCTCCTGTCAGGTCTTGAAAACTTCCAAGGATGGAAACTGCACAGCTTCTGTACTGCAGGGATGTCCTCAGGGGAAATGTTTCTCTTTATATCCAGTCTAAGCCTCCAGTTTTAGTTTATGACCATTGTGTCTCATTCTTCTGGCATCTGGAAAGTTTCATCCCTGGAAAGACCCTGGCTTCTTGTAGGTACTGGAAAGTTTTCTTCAAAGCCTTCGTCTCTTCTCTGGGCTGAGCAAGCTCATTTTCTTCCTCTCCTCACAGCACAAGTGCTCCAGCCATCGTGGTGTGCTCATGGAGTGCTCCTGGTGACCCTTCACTGGGCTCACTGCAGTTTATTGGTGTCTGGCTTGCACTGGGGGCCCAGAACTGGGCACAGGATTCCACATTTTCTAACAAAGGCCAAGTAAAGGGCAATAACCACTCGCCTGTCTTCTGGCTAGGCTCCTGCTGATGCAGCCCAGTGTGCCATTAACTTCGGTACCAGCAGGACACCGTGCTGGCTCCTGTCCTCCAGGACTCCCAAATCCAGCCTGAGATCAGGTCTTTGGGAGAGTATTTCTGTCTGGGATCTCCCTCTCCACACTGACTCAGGGTGCTCACTTGTCACATGCTGTGGTGACTCACTGCCACAAGCACCCTGACTGAGCTTGCAGCTGCAGGACTCTGAGCTCTCTGCACCCAGGGCCCCGTGTTCAGCTTGCTGCTGGAAATACAAAATGTGCTGAGCTGGGGTGATTTAGTGACCTCAGAAACCAAAGCTGCCCAGTGCCTAGGATTGCTAAAGGAGCACAGGACAGGATGGGGTCAGGGGGAGACTTATGTCTGCCCTGCTGCTTAAAATTTGTAAAAGTGTGATGAAAACTGAAGCCACTTGCTCCAACCTCTGACTCAGGAGAGGGGAGGAGGCACGACTGAATTGCAGTGTTTTCTGGGGCTGTGCCCTTCAGTGCATCTCAGAATGCAGCTTGGATTTCTCTATGGCAAAAAGCAAACAGGAGAGTGTCCAAACATCATTATCTTGCTTGTGACATACTGATCATAACCTGGAAGGAGTGTAGAGGTATGGCCTCTGAGAGAAGGTAAAAACCATGGACACAGGGACAGGATGGTCACTGAAAATGCACCAGAGTTCTGGGAGCTGGAGAGGTGGGAGAGCATAACTCTGTTGCAGGAATGGTTCTGTTCCTGCTTCACCTACAGCACCTGACCAGCGGAAAGCTGGCACTTGTCTTTCGCCAGGGAAGCCTTTGGGATTTAGGCAGGAGTGCAGATCTATCTATTTTCCTTGAATTCAGGAAGAAGGAGAAGTGCACCATATAGCTGGAGGATCTACTCACTGCTGGTACTACTGCCTTGGCAGTGAAGGGAGGGCTGTGCAATGATGCAGTGCAGGAGGTGCAGCCTGGAGCAGGCAAGGACTTTGCAAGCAAGGACTCCAGGACTAACTCATCTTGCCCTGCAAAACAAAGGCTGAAATCTGCTTTCCTGAATAAGAATTTTCCATATAGCCACAATGTGCTAGAGTGCCCAGTGCAGGAGAGAAGAGCTGCATCTCAGGAGTTCATGGCTCCCTCTTGGGTACTGGACAGGTTATTTTGACTTCTTGAACACTGTTTTACAGTTTGAAAACACAGATTCCAGCAGACATGCTGAAAGAACTGCCAAGTGTTTTCCAGACTTGGTGTCAGCCTGTAGTGACTGCCTCCCACCTCTGACTCAGCTTTGCCACCTCCCTAGATTCCTGGTCCTGCTTTCACACAAAACTTAACATGATTCATTTGGATCTTTTAATGTCTTGGAAAAGCAGGAACTCTGTGTTGGGGAATTCAGCAGCAGTGAACTGTAAGCCTGAAGTCCTAAATACTTGAATCGTGCATCATTCCTAAAGAACCTATTGTTTCCTTAAGGTAAAAGCTCAGATAGAAGAAAAAGAAGGAAAGTCCTTTGATGTCTTCACTGCAGTGGAGTTTAAAACTCAGCTGGTTGCTGGAACAAACTACTTCATCAAGGTAGAGGACACTGGGTTGTTTCTTTTATATTAATGTGTATAATCTTTGGAATGGTGGGGTTTTTTTCCTTTCTTAACTAGAGGATAATGCTTACAATGTGACCTTAATAGAAAAAGAATTGTGCATAAAAAAACACAAATACCCACCTCCCAGCCCCCTCCCTATCTTCATTTTCATGGGAAATTAGGTGGTATTTCTGGAAAGTCACAGCTCCTAGTCTGGTTTAAAACAAATCAATGGTTATTCTTACTGCCTGTCTGCTGCTCCATCCTGAAACCAGCCCAGCCTCTGCCACCCCTCCTGCTGCAGGCTCCCCCTGCAGGGATCTCACTGGGTCTCGTGCTTTGCAGGTCCATGTTGGGAATGAGGAGTTCATGCACCTGAGGGTGTTCAAGAGCCTCCCCCACGAGAATGAGCAGCTGAGCCTCCACAGTTACCAGGGCAGCAAGACTAAGCACGATGAACTGGCTTATTTCTAGCAGCCTTCTCTGCTGTGTTCCCCTGGCTGGTTCTTATGTGCATTTTCTACAGGCTGCAAATGTTAATTCCTGCGCCAACAAAGGCAGAAAAAAGTGTCTTTTTTTTTTAAAGTCATGGTGTAAAAAATCAATTTCTTTTATGCCATTCCCTTCCTGTGCAATCTCCAAACCTGAGAGTCACAGGGCTCTCCTTTTATCTGCACTAATGTAAACCCTACTTTTATTGCAACTTAACTTAGGCTATAGTGCAACTTAAAGAGAATACTGTGGCTGAGTCCTGTTTGTGGACTTCCTTAGTCTGGAAATCAGAAGGGGAATGACACCAGCATTCATATATTTGCAGCAAGGAACAAGAGGAAAGCCTCAGTCTTTTCTGTGCTGTTTTGCAACTGTAAATATATGTGTGGATTCAAATTGTACTTTGTATTTTATGGGCAATGACCTGATGAGAGACTTGAGCTGAAGCAATTTTGCAAGGAAGAGAAAGAGGCTTACAGTAGCTTGAAACAAACATTCCCTTGGTAATCATGCTCATCCTCTTGCAGCAGTAGCGTGCAATGTCCCGTAGAGGGTGTGTGAGTTTAAAATATCAAAGCAGCTTGCTTGTGTTCTCAGTCCTATGGAAAAATCCTGGAAAGGAACTTGAGCTGGACAAATGCATTTATAACAATAAACATTTCTTTTGACTTGAGATGGCATCTTTGACTGTGTGTTAGTGTTCTCTTCACTGGTTTTCACAATTGATTATTATCTTGCTCAGCTTTTTTTCCTTAACTGGTTTTTATATTCCAGATAACCTTATGTTTATTCTATATCTTAATTAAAAATACTTTATATTAGTCTTGTGACAGACATCATGAAATGTAACAAGAAAGACCTCTGCAGGTATATCAGCAGCAAAAGGAAAGTATGGACAATAGCTTTCCAAACTTATTTTATTCACTGTCATGGGCAGAATCCCTTTAGGATTTGCAGAGGTGAGGCACTGCAACACATCGTGTCTTAGAAGTAGGTCAGAGGGTCATCTCTGGTTTTGCCAGTCTCAAAGCTGACAAGGCTGGGACCCAGGTTCTCATGAGGAAGACTCTGAAACACCTTTAAGTGGACATATACGGCATCAGAAACTTGGACCTGGAAACCAAAAGAGCAGGTAAGTAAGGATCATGGGCTCAAAGCAGATTCAAACAAAAGGCTGTTCTTTACATTCTTGAAATAACATCTTTTCTCAGGATCTTAATTTTAGATGCATCTTCATTTTTACTTCAACAGCTCTTATCCAAGTCTGGATAGTAAGTGGTGGCAGAAACTGTCTACACTTGAGGAAAACTACATTAAAAACCCTCAACCTCAGGTGAAGGGAAAATGAGCAGAGCTGCTTGGGTGTGGAAGCACCAGAAGATGCAACAGGTGAAAGGTTTTGATAGTGTTTCAGTCACCAGGATGCCAGCATATTTGCCCACAGCTTCCTGACACGCTCATAGGAGACAAGAGACAATGAGGACATCTCCATGACTTGGGGGTGGGACACAGTGCAGACACCATGTCAGCTCCCAAAGGTACAGAAAGATCTAATACAGAAACACCAGCACATGGTCCTGAGAAGCAATGACAACCTGAAAGCCAGGATCCCTGGTCTGCAGAGTTACTCCAAACACATCAGTGCCTGAACAGGGAACCTGACATATCCTGGTGCTTTTGGGAGTGCATGAGAATGCCTGGAATAAATACTCTTCCAGAGAAATTCACCTTCCCCCCTAGAAAGTCCTCACATAATGACTTGGCAGGAAGCTGTAATATTTCATTCTTAAAGAGCCAAGCACAACGGGTGCTAAACTATCCCTTGGTGAGGGACATGGAAACTTTAATGCCTTAGGCTCCAAGAGGTTTTTAGATGCTTTCTGGTGGCTGCAGTGGGGCACTATGCTTGGCCTGGGTTGCATCTCAGCTGTAAGTCTGCTGGTAAAACATCAGTGAGGTAGAAGATTCAGAAATACAAAAGAATGAATTTGTTCCAGTTAATGCTAAAATGAAGGTGTATTCCAACAGTGATGTTTTCCATCACTGGTAAAATTGGGAAAGAAGAGACAAATCATCCATGTCCAGTGTTACAAATGGATTTCTTCCAAGTTCAGTAATACATGAATCTTCCTTTCTGAGTTAAGAGTTCTTTTTAGGAAGCACCTGGGAAAGAAGAAGGTTTGGCAGGATCTGTCCTTCCTGGGATCAGCTAAGTATGAGAAGTGTGGAGCTAATGCTCAAAGTGTCTCTCTGCAAAATTACCCTCCCCCAAACATTACAGGCCAATTCCTCTAATAAAAGAATTATTCCAGTTCCCTTGGAATATGGCATACCCTGTCAGGCATGTGCCCACACACACACGGGGTTTCAGCAGTCCCAGGCCATGCCTGCTCTGCTCCACAAGGGCAGCCTGCTGCTCAGCGGTGCTTGCTGGCCTTCAGATGAAAAATACACCCAGACATTTCTGCTGTGCTGCTTCACAGAAAGCTGCTCACATCCATCGGGCAGGGCTTCCAGTAGAGGAATGGTGCTATCACAGGGCTCCAAATTAAGCATTACCCATTTTTACTCTGCAGCAGCAGGGGTGCTTTTGAAAATAGAGAAAGAACCAGCAGGCAGGCTGTGTACCTCTGCAGCACCTGACACATCAAAAACCAAACCATCAACACACCTGCTTGCATGCAAAACTAGCCAGCAGACAGGTGTGCACTGCATTTCAAAATTGACTCTCTCTCTCCATCAGTTCCTCAAGCTGACTTCAACTTCACCCCAACAAAACCAAGTGAATGATCAGGTACTATTTTGCCTTGAAAGGAAACAGGAAACCAGTTATGACTTGTTGAAATAATTTGAGTTGGGAAGGCAATCTATAGTCCTTGAGGGGGATAATCCCAAGAAGCTTACCAATCACATCTGAATAAGTATAGGGCATGTTTTGTAATATTTATATTCCTACTTTATAATATTTATATTCCTGCTTACAGTAGTGCCAAACAGAGGAATTTTATAAGCATTTGGAGGTAGTCCCCACTTGTTACTCACATCAGACAGTTTTCTATGATATTTGCTTCTCTTTCTGGTGTAAGCCACTCTGCAAGTCACCTGTATCATTTAACTCCAAAACACTCCCTCCTACAATATATACAAACCTTAATAAAGTACATTGTCCCAGCAACCACTTGAGTCCTATATACTATGGCTGTAAAGACATCACAGTTCATGCCTGTCCGGCTTTCAAACTGTGGCTTCACCTGTAAAAAGAAACGGAAAAATGATTGGCAGGTAGATATTTATGGATTTCTTTCACATATACCACTCCAATTTTCATCCTTCCACACATACTCCCTTAATGAAACTCCACAAAGTGACTGAGGGTGCCTTCAAACCCTTTGTCCAAATCATCAATAAAGATATTAATCAGAACTGGCCCCAACACTGAGCCCTGGGTGCACCACCTCTGAGCAGCCTGATGTAACCACCTCTCCCTGGGCCCAGCCATCCAGCCAGTTTTTTCACCCAGTGAGCAGTGCACCTGTCCAGGCTTCTTCAGTGGAATGCTGCAGGAACTGGAGTCAGAGGCTTTGCTGAGGTGCAGGGAGACAACATCCACAGCCTTTCCCTCATCCACTAGGCAGGTCATGGAAAGAGATCAGGTTGGTCAAGCAGAACCTGCCTTGCATGAACCCATCCTGGCTGGGCTTGAATCCCTGGTCGCCCTGCACATGCTGTGTGATGGCACTCAGGATGAGCTGTTCCTTGACCTTCCCTAGCACTGAGGTCAGCCTGACAGCTCTGTAGTTCCCTGGATCCTCCTTCCTACCATTCTTGTAGATGTTCTTTCAGAGGGGCATCAAATTAGCCAAACTCCAGTTGTGTGAGACCTCCCTGGTTCACCAGGACCACTGGTAAATCATGGACAGTGGTTTGGAGAGCTCTTCCATGAGCTCCCTCAGTATCCTCAGGTGGATTCCATCCAGCCCCACAGATTTACACAAGTTTAAGTGGAGAAGCAGGTCACTGTTTCCTGCTGGATTGTGGGAGCTTCATTGTGTTCCTTGTCTCTGTCTTACAGCTCAGGGAGCTGGTAGGAAAACTGGTCTGACTATTAATGATTGAGATTAAAAAGGCTTTAAGTACCTCATCCTTTTCTGTATTTTTTGTAGCAATGATTTCCTCAACATGCAGCAAATGATGGAGATTCTCCTTAGCCCTCATTTTGTTGCTTATGTGACCATAAGGACACTTTTTGTCATTGCTTTTGGCAGTGACCAGAGTTAAGTTCAAACAGGGCTTTTGCCTTTCTGACTTTCTGCATAACCTCACAATACCTTTGTAATCCTCCTGAACTGCCTGCCCCATCTTCTCCCCAAAGCTTATAAACTCTATTTTTTACCCTGGGTTCCAACCAAAACCCTCTTCTTCCCCAGTCTTCTTCCTCACCAGCTTGTCTTTTGGCACATGGGGACACCCTGCTCTTGCACCTTTAGGATTTCTTTCTTGAAGAATGCCCAGCCTTCCTGGATCTCTTTGCCCTTCAGGACTGCCTCCCAAGGGATTCTTTCAACCAGTCTGCCAGACAAGCCAAAGCCTTCCCTCCAGAAGTCCAAGGCACTGGTTTTGCTGTTGTCCTTCCTTACTTCTCCAAGAAATAATAACTCTCCCATTTCACGATGGCTGCATGACCACCCCACAGAAAGCAGAGACAAGCAGAGGCTGGGTGACACGGTGCCCCTCTGCACATGACAGGCACGCTGATGACCGGCTGCATTTCTGAGTTTGGGCAGAGGAGCAGTGTCAGTGTCAGTGCCAGCCTGCTCAGGCTGCCCTGGGCCGGGCCAGCAGCACCTCAGCACTTCTCACCACCCACCTGTTTCACAGCAACCCACTGAATTCATTAACTTTCCCAGTATAAGCATCTGCAGCTGGCTGCCACACCCATGACACTCCTTCCTAGCAGGAAGGTCACAGAAAGCACCCAAGGAACATCCAGATCGTTTCCAAAGAGCCAGAAATTATCATCCTGTTCAGCTTCCTCATGATCTCTGACCCTGCTCTTCTGCTGAGTAGCTTCCACAGGGTTTCTATCCCCAGGAACAGACAACTATTCTTTCAGCTGAGGAGCTGCTAACTCTGGCAAACCAGGGAAATTTTAATTCCCAACAACCTTCCAGCTGACCAGGGCAGGGGCCTCCTAGAATGCTCCTAAGTGGCAACTTTTGGTGCAGGATATTCCTCTCTCAGAACAAAACAAAACAAAACAAAGCCACTTCTCTCCAGTTTTGCTTTCTCTCCTTTGGCCACTATATCCCCCATTTGTCATTTACAGACTGAGCCTTCAGTAAAATCAAGAAGGCAAACAGCTCCTTAATCCTCGGGTGAAAAAATTAACATTCCTAAGCTCTTATCTAACAGCATCCTAAACCCAAAACATTCCTCAGTTTTGAGCAACAGCTGTAAAACAGGGAGACCAAATAAATAACATTCCTCAGCTCACTAATGATGGCTAGAGACAAGGCACAGGTATAAGTAAACAATTATGTAATCCCATAAGCAGACAGACCTTGAGCATCCCAAGTTTTGCAAACGCTCTTCACAGCTTCACTGAAATCATGGTAATTGCTTCTCTGCTCAGCAGAGCATAAAAGCCCCCCAGATTGCTTCATGAAAAGGTGATACTTATGCTGGAAGGGTAGCAGATTTCTCCAACATAAGGTTTCCATAAAAATATTTTCCTTAGAGAACTATACCAAAGCCTCTGCAAGGGGGGAAAGGATCAGGAAGCGTTCTCTCTCCTGCTCTCAGCACGGGGCAGAAATTTCACCTTGCAGAAAATCAACAGCAAAGAACAATCTGTTTTCATTTTCCTGAAGCTACTGAGAACAAAAGAACACTAAAATTAGAATCAGTCCTTTTCTGGAATCAAACAGAAACTTTGCACTATCCACATTTCAGATTCCCTGTGTGCCCTGTACTCTGGGAGCATTAGCATTGCCTGAAACCAGCATTCACATTTTCAAGTGCCTGTTCACTGACAGACACTCAAGTGCTGTGGTTTCACCTCCAATACACACTGCAGGACTTCTGGTGACCCATAAATAACAGCTCAGCGCTGAAAATGAAGCTCAGTATCTGGGATAGTGCTTGAGGCATTTCACAGACTCATTAATTAAATTTCACAGCCCTCAGCTGGCCCCATCTTAAACATGAGGAAACAAGAATGGCAAATACACAAAGGTGCAGCAAGTCCCTTGCTAGGGTCTCCCCTCCATAGGCAAAAGGGAATTTCTGATCTCTGCAAGTGCTGCTCCTTCAAACATTCCTGCCAAAATAGAACAAACAGTGATACTGCTTCCAAGTAACTCAGTCAGTGCTCCCCGAACAACTGCAAATCATCCATTTCTCTTTCTGCTCTGCAGTAAATCATCTCTGACTAACCTGTTACCCCGAACTCCAGCCCTCCCTCATGTACATGTCCCCAGCTCTGGTGAGCCCAGCTGTGAATGGCCAATAAAGCCCTATCGTGGAAGAAGGCTCAGAGGAGCTGCAGAGCCTGACGTTCCACCTGGAGAACAATGCAGAGTGTGACTCACCACAGCCTTTGCAAATAAGCTGACTTATCTCAACACAAAGGCTGACCACAGGGTGCTTTTGATAAATACTCTGTCAGTGGAGGGGGTCATGTGATGGTGTAACTCCCCGAGTTCAGTAAAAGAAAGTGACACACCCCTGAGTTAGCCGGACCAGCATGGGGTGGGAGTGAGCACATGGCTCTGCCCAACCCTGAGTACAAAACTAAATGGCTGGGCAAAAGAATTTTGAAGAAAACTGCTGGCTAGAGGTGACTTCAACCCACATCCCCCTTCCTAGTCACTGAGGATGCCCAGTGTGGTGACACAGAGGAGTGCAGAACACCCTGGCATCCTCAGAGAAATGGGATTGCAGTCGCTACATTTTGCTAAGAGTAACTTAGACCTGTATCAATTTACCAGCATATTTGTATCACTCTGCTAAATCAGACACCTCCTGTAACATGGAGTGTCTCCTAATCAGTGAACTGAATGTTAAAGTTATCCCCTCCACCAGTGCACTAGAGAAAAGAGCCCTGTCAGAGCACTGGGCTGCCTGGTCTCAGTTGCAAGATCGCAGAAGATGTGAAAGGATGGAAGGATGGTGGTGCAAACTCTGTCCTCGGTGGCACAGCAAAGGAGATTCCCTGCACATCAGGTATAGCGAGTGTGCTGCAGTATTGGCCAATGCATTCAGCCCTGCTACTTCCTATTTTTGCTTCCTTAAAGACTGCCCGAGTGCAATTGCCAAAGGGACAAGAGCTCATCTTTCAGAGGCAGAAGGGTGGAGATGATTGGATGGGTGGGAAACCCCTTTCATTCCTCAGGATGCATTTTATACTTTCTTTAAAAAGAGCTGCTGCACTGCAGGGCATTAGAAGATCTGCAGAGGTGCTGCTCACACAGCTGCTCCAGTTCAGGACCACTGCCTGTAGCCAGCTACCTGACAACTGGGCTCACTTAATGGCCTGCCTTGTGCCAAGCTCATCCTGCCCCACCAGCAGTCCCTGTATCACAGCTGTGACTCTAGAAAACACCTAATGCCAGCAGGGAACACACAATTTAAAAGCTTTGTCCTGAGTACACAATTCTTTACTGCATACTAGCATGTGGTTTGTCTTATGCAGTCCTTAACTGAGGAATAAACTCTACTAGGTACAACCTCTTCCCTTCCAGTATGCCACCTCTCATTTCAAACAAGTGACCTCACTGCTGGTATAGCAGAGGTGGGCTTGGAACTTCACGCAGACATTAACTGAAGGTAGCCAGTACCATGCCATGGACAAAGAGGAGACACAGAAGTGGCTTTTCTCAGTCTTACCAAGGCATTTCCTACATAGAATGCTGAGAAAACACTGCCAGTCACGGGGATTCCCACTTTTAGCATAAGCCTCTTCAGTTTAAAACCTAGCTCAGTCTCCTAGGCTTTACACAAGCTTCAGGAATGGCCTCTTTGCACACAAGTAACTTAATGTAGAGAGAGGGTGCAACTCACCTGGTTAACAAGCTGCTGAACTTCTGGAGTAGCTGGCTTGGTGTCAGATAAGCCCCCAGGCACCATGGTGGCAGGTGACTTCTGTGAAATGATGAGCGGCTCTGAAGAGGGAAGTTCAGCGCAGTCTGAGCAGAGTCCCCAGGCATCTCACATATATACACACACACATGTGTCATGGAACCATGTGACCTGCAACACACGGAGCCTACCATTACTGAACTGGAGGAGACTAACAGGGAAAAGGGGGGAAAAAGCAATGTAAAGCACTGGCAATATTATTAATAAATGTAAAAAGCACTTAAAGTAGTGCTTATGGTCTTCACATCCAAAAGAATAGCAAACATCAGCCTCCAGTCACCCTCAGCTTAAAGAGAGTTAGTTTGGGCTGCAGCTGGAACCTCTTGTCTCCCCACCCATATGCAGATGACTAGGCTGAGCTCTTGAGAAACAGATCAAAGATACACCCAGTATTTCCCAACACCTTTACTGATGAGTAGAAAGGATGCAGCACTTCCCTTAGCGTAGGTCCCGTTTAACTTGAAATTTTATTCTCTCAATATCCTTCTAAGTGGGGAAACCGGAGCAGATAGCATCTTACACTCAGTGACTTGGCTTTCCTCTGCCTGACCAAAAAGGTGCCAAGGTAAACACCAGCATCAGAAGTAGAAAATAATTCAATCCCAAATTCAAGTAACTACTGCAAATAAGGCATTTCTGCTTCTTTTCCATCAAACCAAGAGCTGCATTCAAGCAATCATAATAGCAACTGAATGTGCAATAAAATCTACTTTTTAGCTCCAGTGCCAATTTCCTGGAAGACAAAGTACAATGAAAAAACACAAAAGCTGTCCCAATTTCAACATATGCTGTTTAAACAGATCACCTGAGAACATATAGTCAGAAGTATTGATTCTGCACTTCCAGTCACACGGCACAGTCACACTCACAAATGTGAGTGTACAAAGCCCAAATCCTACTGGGGGAAGGCTAATAACTGCTAGCAGCCTCTCTGGTAAGGGAGAACTAACACTTCAAGACCACAGAAAAAAATTAGTCCCTGTCAATATTTCTGCCACTCCCCTCTCCAGGAAATAAGAGGAATGTTGTTCCAGAGCAAGGACCAGAGAAGCAGAAACAGACCAGACACTTTTTAGTCTGTAGGGGCAGGTACATGGGAGCAGGTGAAATGAGAATATATTCTGCATACAGGCAATGGGCATTCCTGCTGGGATCAGCATTAGGGAATTTGCTAGGAAGAGGTGGGTTTATGGCCGTAGCAACAAACCTGTGTCCTACCCATACTACTGAACCTCCTCCTCACAGATAACAGATTATGCAAGGCACTGTAAAAAGTACTTCAGATCTGACTTCAAGACCTGGTTTTGGTACACAGCCCCTGAGATTGAGAAACTGGGCCTGCAGGGGCCCTACACTCAACAGTATTGATCAGTATTACAGCATGATACTGAAAAAGATATTGCAGAATTTTCCAGACTTGAGCAGCAGTGCTATGGAGGTGGACAAAAAGCATTTGAGGAAAAATCATTGACCTGAGACACTATTTTTGTGAACAGAGAAAAAATCCTTCCAGTTCTCAGGAATATAGGGAGTGACAGCTGTTAAAACTGGAACTCTGCCACTTTCACCAACTTCCCTCCAGATGAGGAGTTCCTCAGAGCCCTATTCATGGAGCTGATGACAACTCAAACCTTCTTTTCCCTAAGACCCTGCTGATTCACTCAAATGCTGATCATGTTCCACCACCTGTGCCTTATTCATAGAGCAGGACAGATAAGTTAAGGAACTGGAGGAGCCAGTTCACCTTACTGAGGCCAGAAATCAGAGAATGTGTCCAACAAATGCACAGCACCAATGCTAAAACAGGACATTTTATAAACCTCTCCGCTCACCAGGATACAGATCCTGCTAACTTCCTTGGGAAGGGATGTTAAGATTCCCCAGGGCAGCAGTACATTCCTGGAGAACTCTTGATTCTGTCTAGCAACAAATACACTGAGCACAAAGTCTAGGAGGGTTCATTTATGATCTTGGAAAGACTTTAGGTGTGAAACTAAAGATATTAATGTTGCATGGAAATCATTCACTGGACTCTGTATTTCTGGGTTTGCTGGTTTTTCACTTTAAAGCATAAGAACATTTTTTTCCCCAGAATGCACAATTGTGCAGAAGGGGAAAAAAATTAGGACTAATTATCAGCAAGTTAATGCTGAAGTTCACAGAGGCAAATCAGACTGTTTTCTTTCCTAATGGCTGTCCCAAAATCATTTCTAAGTCTGGGATGCAGTACTCATCCTGCACAAGTATTTCCTGAAACCACTTTGAAGTGCTGACATTTCACAGACCTGTGATCAAAGATGACTAGACACAATTGACCAACCTTATCTGGGGCAACTCCCACCTCCACCCACCCCTGTCTGCACTAAGTTTTGGATGTAATGAACCAGGATTTGGAACACTGCCTTGACTAGAACAGCCACCCCCACGCTGTCTCTTGCACAACAAGGTGAGTGTGCCCCCTGTGGTGATTGAGACGTGGCTGCTATCACATCCCAGGCCAGTTCACACTTTCCATCAGCACAACTGGCAGCTTCCCCTCACGTCACTGTGCTGCTGTTTTCTTGGAGAATCTGCTGGGACACCACCACTGGCATTCTGTACAGGTTTGAAGCTCACTAACACCTTGCACCGTGTACTATTCCAACACAGAAGAAAGAGATCTTTGCCACTTGCAGGCCACAACTCCCTGGTCCTGTTTAAGCAATTTTAAGAGTGCCAAGCTATTGTTGATAAAAACACCAGTACAAAAAAAGCAAACATAATAACCTCCACCAAAATCCAAACCCCAGGGTTATGTATTTACAAGTCATTTTTAAACCAGGAATTAAGTCAGCTCTGTAGAAATGATTGTGAAAGCCAAGTCAGTAAGGTTAGTCTTCTGGTTTCACAGTGACATGGAACTGTGGCTGGACATGACACATGGTCTGAATGTCTTTAAGAGCTTCTGGAGGAAAGCAGCCCTCCATGTACCAGCTGAAGAGCTGTTTTCATTGTCACAGGAACAGCCTTGATTTCCAACGTGCTGGTCTGCAAAAAAGGTTTCCCCTCCTGCTACCCATCCTGATTTTGAAAGATTTCTGACATTGTACATGAAAAAAGATCAACAGAAACCTGACCTTCAGCAGCACAAAGTTATCATGGTCCAGCCTATGCTGAGCCTCTTCCTCTCAGTCTGCTTCAAGACAACTGAAACCTACTTTTAAAAATATTCTATAAAGAAACTACTTGTTTCATCAGTCTTTCATGCCTACAGGCTGCAGAAGACAACAGCACTGAATGCTAGAAAAAGTTCAAACACCTCTTTCCATTTCACAGAAGGAAAGATGCACAAGCTTGAGAGGACTTTCCAAGCATGCAGGATCTGCCCACATCTATTCACCACTTGCAAGCAATGGGAAAGCCCCAGGAGAGGAGGCAAGGCACCCACAGGACTTTGGACACAGCCATCAGCTGTGCTCAAATGCCCTTACTTGCAGAAATAGAAGTTAAAACCAGGGAAAGGATAAAATTCTGCAGTTTGTAGGGTCTACTATGTGATCCCCATATGACAGCAAACAGCCCAGTAATTTTGTAACTACTTCAATGGTAACGTTGAAGCAAGGTTCAATCCGTGACTGAACACCATCCTGGAATCCTCAGGGGTGCCTAGACAGAGAATTTACCTGCCTGTGTCCAGGGTGGCACAGAGTTCACACTGATGCCATTTGCACACCCCACTCCACACACTCTCTGAGGCTCCCAGGAACAGCAGAGCCGTGTGCTCCTGCCCCGCGCCCCAAGCCTGGCATGCAATTCCATTTACTCACCGTGCGCTCCAGCGAGTTCAACAGCAACCTGAACGGCCTCTGAGCCACCTCACTGGCTGGGGTACTGTGAGAGACACCCTCTGTGCTCAGAGCAAACCAAATCAAGCAACTCAACATCTTACTGCAACCCTCTCTGTGCAAACACCCCAAGAAGGAATGCTGGGGATTTAGGAGTCTTCTCAAGGTATCCGTTTTCCATACTCAGGTTTGTATAGGACTACTTGTTTGGCCTTATATTCAAACTGAAAACAATTCTATGTAGGGCTGATTTTTTAGGGTTGTGGGTTTTGGGCTTTTTTAACACAGTTTCCTCATAAGTAATGCAAAAAAAAAGTATCTGCGTATGACATCCATTTGACAGGTCATTTATCACAGCATCTGCTTAAGTGAAGAAGCTTTCCACAACAGCTGAGCAAACATCTGGATGGATAAAGGAAGAAAATTATTAATTCTCATTACAGTCTCTAGTTTATACAGAAATAAAAAATTATATTTCAAGACTATTGATCCAAGTCTATACACACTCGTATCAGTTTCTATTGTACAAATGGCTTAAAAGGAGAATTTGTCCTTGCAGTTGATCCAAGCCCAGGAGAGAACAAATATTTTAGACACCTATACTAGAGGTCAATAATAAAGTACCAACTTTGAAATCAAAGCTTACTGTTCTCAACATCTCATTAACTGACCATCATCTCCTGTTGAAATTTCATTAGTGCCAATTAAGCCCAGATTGATGAGAAGTATTTGATTTACACTTTGATGATAAACAATTACAAGAATTCAACAACTGAAGAACAAACACATTTTCTGCTTTCAGAGTTGCAGAAAAACAATGAGAAATCTTCAAGAATGAGCACTCCAACTCAAAGTTCTGCATAAAGCAGTTGCAGTACCTTGAGAAAAAAAGAGGGGGGAAAATGAAGTTTGAACATTAGGATTTATATCATCAAAGACTTAAAATATATTTCTACCTCATTCTCAAAAAAAGGTGAGACGAAATGACCCTGGTGCCTAAAAATAAAAGGCCCCCAAGCAGTTTGACTCTTTACTGCACAAACAACTATAAAACAGATGCTGCTGCACAGATCTTTGCCAGCTCTCAGTAACACAGGTACATTCCTTCATTTATTTCCCATTCCCTATACATTCAAAGCTTTAGGGATGGGAGAGTATATCTAGTAATTTCATTGCTGTTGCTGAATTCCAAAGTGTTTGCAAGACAGGGACTGTATTTTTAGTGCTCTGTTTAAGTTCAGTGGTTCTTAAGATCCTATCAGCTGGCAACCACACAGACCTCATCACTTGATAGACTTGTCAGCCTATCTGAGATAAATACAAAATAAAAAGTAAATAGTAAAATATACAGGTGTAATTGCAGCAATTCAGCTTTCCTCCTACTCATCTGCCTTTAAATGCTGCGTTACTGCAGGGGTGCTGCATTCAAGCTTTCTAAACACAACACCATGGCCAGGATCAGCAGGATCACGTATGGACAGCTGTTTCCTCAGCTCAAACACAATTCACCTTTAGAATTACTCTTCAATATTCAGAGGGAGGGACAAAAAAAGGTCCCTGCACAGTCTCATTCCCAAATGAGACACATCTTCAGCTCCAACCCAAAGTGGTTTAAATCGACACCACATCCCCTATATCAAGGAAAACTCCAGAACTTGGAAACACAGACCAAAGGGCAGAAAGCAACAGATGCTGCCTGTCAGCATTGCAGCAGCAATGGCAAAGCTGTACCCACACACAGCTCTGAGCCACTGCTGCTTTTGTTGAGCAGTTCAGAACAAGGCTGGTAACTTCTTACTTTCAGAGATGCTGAACCTACTACACTTGCTGATCAGTCTGCAATCTTTATTTCCTTTCACACTTCAGCAGATTATTTCCGCAAAAAGACCATGTTCACTGAGATTTTAGCAGGCACCAGCTCAGGGAGAGCCTTCTCCTCCCTGCTCAGGATAGGTTTTACTCTTTCTTCCCCTCTGGGATCACTGAAGCTGCGGAAGTTCAAGAAAGATGCCAGTTTTGCATTCCGATTGAAAATTGTTTTAATACTATAAAACTCATTTGTTCACATATTTTGTACAAAAGATTAGTTGTTTTCTCTTAATTACAGGAGGATCATTTCAAGCTTGAGAATTCAGCTAAGTAGGTCCAAAACAAAACAAGACTGGGTTCTACTGGTTCTGGAGGGTCCCAATTCAGCTCACCCAAGGTCTCTTTCCAGTTTGGCTCTCACAGTTATGGACCACCTTGATGGAAAATGCCCCACATCATCATTGACTCTTCGGAGGCTTGTAGTGAATTCGGCACCGCTCATTAAATACCTGAGACACCAAAACAGAAGAGCAAAAGCGAATCAACCCCATCCAGGAAATGAGCAGAACTTCACAGACAGTTCAGGCAACTACCTCAACTACCTGGGCACCCATCTCAAGCTGCCCAGCTCTGAGGTATCAATAAATAATACTTACCAAGACATCCATCTCCATTCACCTTCACTCCTGGCTTTAGTAAATCCAAAGTTTGCAGCCTGGTGTTGGGAGACTGCACAGCACTAAGTGTTCTCCCTCAGAAAATGCAGACTCTTAATCCTGGTAGGCTGTTATCATCAAAAATGCTGATGCCTTTTTGTTTTTAAAAGAGAGGGAAATAATCATGGGAAGGCTCCTGAATGGTTGTGTTCTGTTGGGTTCACTCTGGCATTGAAATCTGGGTGCTATATTCCTGTCTTTCCTGAGCAGGCACATTTTACATTGGCATGATAGCCAAGAAGAGGGGCAAGGGCTCCTGAAAGCCACATGCACACTTCCAGTGCTGCCAGCACTTCCTGCAAAGGGCACAGCACTCCTGCCTCACTCACCTCTGGCACCTTCTCTGGGTAAAATTTAGCCTCCAGAACTGGATACTGAGGATGGTGTATATTTAGCTTGAACTGCCGCCAGCCTACCCTAAGGAGGGCCAGGAAACGTGACTATTTAAAGAAAGGCAGCCTGAATCCAAAGCAAAACACACAGGCTCCCACCAAGGCTGCAAGTGCTCTTCACAAGCCATTTAGTTATTTATCAGTTTTTATCCCAACTTGTCCAGCACAAATCCTGAAAGCGACACAAGCACCACCTGACACCAAGCTGAGGCTCTGGCAGGTGTTGGTTGTCCCACCAGCATTCCCACAAGAGCATATTTTGCCAAGCTGTCCAGGGATTTGGCAGATCCAAGTGTCTGTGATCATCAGGATATGAAGTTTCATGAACTCTCCCATGGGCTTTATGTGCAAAGTGAGTGATCTTGTAATTTTGGGGAAGTTACGTGCAAAGTGAGTGATCTTGTAATTTTGGGGAAGTTATCCAACACTTTATATAAATACACAGTTTCAAGCTCTATCTTCCTAGAATTTGCAACAGCAGATCTTACTCACAGGTCAGAACCTATGGCAACTTCAGCAAAAGCGAAGCCTGGAGCACACATAGTTACAGCATTGCTTCTCAACAATTTTGAAGCAATTTTCAACTACCTTTCAAATTTTATTTTAAAAAATAGACATGGATTTCAAACTGCCTCATACTGCAGAAGACAAAAGCTGTGATATAGTTTCTTTCACACACAGAAATGTGCAGCCATTATGTTACCACATGGAATGGACACCTCTGGAAGAGTTCAGGTGAGATAAAGGTTTGAGATCAGTGATAGGAGGAAACTGTAGAAATTAAGAGCAACAGCATCAAGTCCAATTCAGAAACATTTTACACTAAACAAATCAAACTGGTTTTTGTCCATTGTCTGTTTATGACATTTTAATGGCATGTATGTCTAAAAGAGTGCTGGAAATACTCTCTAAAGCACTGCAAGGGTCTATAGCATCAAACAACACAACAGCTTGCTTTCTATCATGTTAACTTTCAAAGTGCCTTCAACAGTAACTCCACAACCTGTGGCAGGAAGATCAACACTGCAGTCTTACTAATACTGCCTCCTACTTTTAGGATCATTGGCTCACAGATCTCAGGGTGTTACTCGGGCCACTTAAATCCACTGGTCTACCTGTGAAGTGCTGTTCTCATTTTCAGACATTTTTCAGGAAAAGCAATGGCTGAGAAAAGTTAAATTTATGTTACTAGGCAAAAGTTTAATTTTGCTGACTTTTACATATTTGTACAAACCACTCTAGCAATAAAGTCCAATCTGGAAGTGCTGGACAGAGACTAATGCAAGTGTCTTGTTTGAAAGTCAATTCCTTGTTTGGTATCATCCAAACTGCATGTGCATTTCTCTAAAGTAGCATCCTTCTGTATGCCACTATGCTACAGTCAGCCAGTGTTTAAAAATCTGTTTCCTAATCAGATTTTTCCAATTGGTTTTCAGTTGTTTAGGATTAATGGAAATACACAAATGCACTTCCCAACCAAAGTCTACAACAGTAAAACACCAGCCTGCACACCAATATTCACTCCCATGTAACAAATTGCATTCAGTCTGCAACCATGACTGGCTCTAATTGACATTTTAGCAGGCAGCTAAAGGAGACATTTATGTGTATATTCAGAGCACAGTACAGCAGAGATGGAGATAAAACCCAGAAATATTTATCTCTTTAAGCTCCACTGTGAACATTGGCTGAGGAATACACTAGCAGGCTAAAGTACCCCTGCACCATGCATACCTCACTCTTTATAAACTCTCCATCTTCAGAAAAAATTAGAAAGTTCTGCCACCAGTAAAAGCTTAATGCAGCTACAAGAAACCTCTGGGATCATTACTAAATTTGGTGCTTCAGAATGAAGAGTAGGGTGGGGGCTGTTCCCCTACAGCAGAGTAGCTGTAAAATATTTGCCCCTGGTGACCTGCAGGCTGTTGCTGCTAAGGCTGTGGCATTGATTAGTCAGATGTGAGTGGGTTTAAAATTAAACTGAAGTGCATGCTTTGCTTTTTTGGGACAGTACAGAGGTGTGCTGATGGCAAAGCACATGCAGGAAACTGTGTAAATGCTCATTTCATCAGCCTGCACTGAGGTTACTGATGAACACCCTGGACATAAAGCTGCATTGGTTTTACACTGGTGCAATCTAGGGGCTAAAATCATGAAGTAGGGATTACAAAGGAAGGCGCAGCTAGTACTGGCTATTTGCAAAATTCCTTTTTGCATTTAGAGGGGGAGAGAGGTTCTCTGCAGTATTGAAAGCTCTGAAAGCTTCATCAAAACAGAAAAGCATCTGGTGATGCCAGATGTGAAATGCTGCAGTGACACAATACAGCCACCTCAGAATTGAAGCTCAGTGTTAAAATCACCAGACAGACTTCGGGGCCATCAGTCCAGAGGGTGATCTGCACCCTCTGCTGACACAGGAGAGAAACGGCAAGGCTGCCCTTTGCACCAGGGAGTGTCTGCTCAGGCCTGAAGAAACTCCACGAGGAAAAGGTTCAACTTCTACAGCCTCACCCTCTCCTGGGCTCTGCTGAGATCTGATCTGATCTGTGATCAGCGCCAGATACAGGCAAATGTGAAAGACCCTTCTCTCTGACATTGTTAGAGGCACTAAAAAGCTTTTCAGAGAAGTCACCACAGAAAAGCCTACAAAGTGCTCAGTCACTGGCAAGGAGGGAAAAGGGACACAGGGAACAATCCACAGGGCTTCCTCCATGCTCAATCAGATGCTTTTCTTCCCCTGGCAGTGCAACTGAAAAGTTTTGATCTCTGCATCCAGAACTGGGAAAATGACTGACTTGAGGCATTTCCCCCAGCAATGCCCTCATCTATTTCTAGTTAAGTTTCTTCACAAGGCACCAGTCCCACCCTCCAGTGCAGGACTGTCTGTTGGGACAGAACATCATCACTATTAAATGACTGAGTACCTTCCAGCTTCTGTCGTTTACCACTTCTTCAACATTGAGCTCCGACTGCATCAATTTCAACTGCAGAAAATAACAGACACAAGGGTTATTGTCAAACAGGTCTCCCTGCAGCCTTCAGTATTTATTACAAGTGCAACTTTCCAGCACCCAACCCCAGCACCAGGTGCACACCTCCTGTGATGGTGCAAACCAAAGGGCACGATGTGTAATCACCCTGGGAGCCCGGCCCTTCCAGCCAGCCAGTGCTCAGGGCACACACAGGTCTGCAAGGGCACAGGGAAGGCAGACTCACAGAGCAAGCCTGGCAGTAGATCCTCATTACTTATGCTCTATTCCTAAATAATGCCCATCAAGATTTACTAGCAATTAACTGATTAACACTGATGGCTTCACAGGCACAAATAACTGCACCTAATGCAAGCACTGAGCACAGGGAATGCCAGGGCTGGGGTTAGCTCTGCAGCCTTGAGTTGCCACTCTTGCATTATTAGAGTCATATATGAAGCTGGCATCAAAGCTAGGAATCCAGCTAGGATTCTGGATTTAAAACTAAGGTTATGAACAGACCCTCTCTGCTTCATTTGCTACCTACTCAGTGCACTGATCAAAAAGGGTCTGCAGTCTGATCACATGTAGTTTATGCTGTCTGAACCACTTAATATTTCATGTCATCACGGCAGGACAAACCAGCTCTACACAGATGCAAAAGCTCTGGCAAGAACTACCACCAATACACAGTTCTTGACCACTCACTTGACCTGTGCAAGAATCTCTTTGTTTCACACCTATTATTAACCCTGAGGGCCAGGTGTGACAGTTGTGTTTGGGTAATTTGGTCCGGAGGCAATAGTAGGAGATTTAAGAACCATCTGCCATTTTGCCCAAATTTAGGAAGTATTCTTGTTGGAGTCTTTAACACAACAGACAAAGAGTCAGAGTTTATCCATTTTCAATACATGGCTCCAATTAGAGGCCTGGTGAACAGGTGCAAGCCAAGACAACAATCCCACTAAAAACCTTCCAAGTAAGTAAGATATCCAGGGACACAGAGTTGCTACAGCTGTTGGATGTACTTCCCTCAAATCAACAGGACTTCAATCTGTTTGAAATAACAATCCAGCATCCAGAGTGACTTATCCATTTTATGGATAAGTCTCTATAAAATAAACACTTAGAGGATCCTGAGTAGTTCAAAGAAACTACCACTCTAAGTTTTCTCACTCAGTGACCCAGAAGTAATAATTTTGCATGAAGTCCTCCAAGTTGTACAACTAGCAGGATCAGAGAAATACACATAACAAGGGAAAAGAGATCTGTAGTGCAAGCAAGTGAAGAGATATTTGAAATTCCCCCTCTTAAAACTAGGATGTGTTCTGTCAAGATAGCTTTTCTGACCTGTAGAAAAAACACAACTCTCTGTGTTTTGGAAAGCCAAAAAAAAAGCAGGGGGATCACACCTCATATGGTCCAAGTACAAATCTGAGGTGATCTCATAAAAAAATTCTGAAATGTTTCTAAGTCATGGAATGCTTTTAACAGTTGAAGCCACCTCCAATCATTACACATTTTAATTGTGATCCTCCCAGTGTATTCAGTGGGAGATTTCAGGCTCAGTAACTAAATGACTTAAAGAACTGGCTCTGCTAACAAAATTTGTAGAAAATACTAAGCAACCACTCCAGTTTTCTAAACTAATAGCCATGCTTGTTAGCAGTTCAGTAACTGAGGCTTTAATAATAAAACTGCTTGTCTGCCACATGGTTCTCTCAGTATCCTTTTCCTTACAAAAGGGGCCCTGGAAGTGAGGTGAGAACTTCAGTGGGGTTCCCTTCTCCACTTGTGATACTCAATCCCCTCTGGTCACTCTGCTAAAGTACTTCCCACCCACAGGCCAGAAGGTTGAGAGGACATTTGCACATTAGAATTCCATATGCAAACCCAGAAGTCTCTCACACACACCATGACAAGGTACTCCAAATATTAATCCAATATCCAGAATCCAGTATTTGGAAATACCAAACAGCAAAAAGGTTGTGTAAGTGGAATTCAAGGTTGCCTGGGAGCATCTTGTAGAGAACAAGCATTTTGTAGGAAAAGTTAAGCTGTGCCTCAGTGGTGTCAGTCAGTGAAGGTTAGAATCCACTATGGGAAAGAATGTGTGCTTTTCTACAGCATTCATGTAAAAGAATCTTGGAAATGCTCCAGCTGCAGGATAAAAGCAGCTCTCTGCCTTTGGGGAGACCTTGGGAAAATAATTCTCACAAGACCCAACAAGGGCCAACGAGAACCTTGGAAAAAACTGCTTGACTCAGGATCCACTTCAGGTTCTCTCCATCACACTGGTCCTTCCATTTGGGAAAGATATCCACTTCTTCCTCTATAAGTGATCTCTCAAAGGCTCCACCCACCACTCACTTTTGTCTGCTCTTTCCTGAGTTGCTTTAATAATGCTGCATCTTCATGGGCCTTTTCCCTCTCTTCTTTGAGGGTTTTCACTACAGAGGAAGTCTGAGAGATGCAGTCTTTGATGATTCTTTCTCTCTTGGTGTGAGCATCCATCAACTAAGTGGGGAGAAAAGGAAAGTCACAGTGACTCATCAGAGAATAAAAACCTCCTAGTTGTAAGTTTAAAGAGACACTTTCTAAAGTCATGGTATTGCAGTGTCTACAGAAATCCCTTTGAATTCATAATCCACATTGTGGGAAACAACACTGCTTTGAGCAACAACTACCCTCAGCTTAGGCTATCCTATCATTCTTGCTCTCACCAAGTTGATCAAAAGTCAAAGGCAAACATGAGGAGTCTTGCAGAGCAGCAGGAAAAGCAAGCACCCTTTTTAAAAGATCCTTGAAGGACCAATATTGCAGAACAAAGAACTCCCCTGCATGGTTTTAAACTGAAGCAGTGTGTGAAGATGTTGAGCGGGACAGTTAGGAATGCACAAAGCAGGATCTACCAAGGCAGTGTTTCCTCAGACCCTGAGGATGCTTTACTGGCCACTGCACACGACAAAGCAGGGGGAAGGGAGCTGAAAGTGAAGGTGAGCACACTCACAGACTCGTACAGCTCTTTACACGTCTGCCCAGGATCAACTTTCCCCACAAAGGAAGCTGTTGGAATCGTAGTGTTTAACTCATGAACAATTCTATCATCGATTGTCCTCATCACCCTGAGCAGCTCCTGTATTAAAAGAGAGAGAGAGATACTTGGTTATATCCCTCAGAAAAGCCTATTACAAAATATTAGCATAGTCAAGCATTTGAATAGAAACTAAATATGATTGCTTACAAAGAGTTGGAAGCACACCAAAGGAGCAATCCCACGTGCAGGAGTGTGTGCTGCAAACCACGGAGTTTCCTTGGCAGCAAAGGCCAGAGCAGGGGTGAGTTACTGATGCCCCCTGAAGCCCCCTGGCCCTGCAGGCAGCATGGACAGGCTGAGGAGCCTCTGCCCAAGTCCCCGTCCCCACTTCCACACAGGAAACCGGGCACAACCTGCACCAAAACGGCAAACTTGAATAAAACCCCCACCATTCCTGGGGGCGTGAAGCTGAGCTGGGGGAGGTTTAGGTGGGGTCTCAGGAAAAAGTTTTTCACCCAGAGGGTGTTTGGGCACTGGAACAGCTCCTCAGGGCAGTGGTCAGAGCACCAAGCCCGACAGAGTTCAAGATGTGTTTGGGCAACACCCTCAGGCACGTGGTGTGACCCTTGGGGTGCCCTGTGCAGGGCCAGGAGCTGGACTCGGTATTCCTGAGGGTCCCGAGCTACTCAGGATATTCTGGGAGTCCGTGTTCGAGGCACAGGCCGGCCTGGGCCCCGCTCGCAGCGCCGAGGACCCGGGTGGCAGCCCCGCTCCCTCGCACACCGCGGAGGCGCCCGCGGAGCTCCCGCCGCCCGCGTGGCTCCCGCGCCGCGAGCGCTCCGTCGCGGGAACGGGACCTGCAGGGAAGGGGAGGTGCGCGGCCCCGCTGCTGCCGGAGGGAAGAGGGAAGGGAGGGAAGGGAGGGAAGGGGGGAAGGCCGGACGCTGCTCCCTTCCCGCCGCATCCCGCCGGCCGCCAGCAGCGGGGTGACCTCGCGCACGGGGCGCGCGCTCCCGCGGGGCCGTTCGCCGGGAGGCGGCGGGAGCGCGCGGGGCGCGCAAGGGGGAGGCGGCGGCGGCGGCAGCGCCCGGCCCGGCCCGGCCCGGCCCGGCTCGGCTCGGCTCGGCTCGGCTGGGCCCGCCCCGCGCGGCTCACCTGGAACTCGGCGAAGTCCTCGCAGATCGCGGCTCCGCTGGGCGCCGCCATCCTGGATCGGCCGAGGGAGCCGCGGCGCCCAATCCGGCGGGGAGCCGGGATGACGCGCGGGGCGGAGCGGGGCGGGACCCGCCGGAGCGCGGCCCCCAGCGCAGCGGCCCCCAGTCGGGCATCTCCACCGGCAGCGGCCTGGCGGCCCCTTCGCCTCCCGCAGCCGCTGCCAGAGCTCCGGCCGCCCCCACCGGAGGCGGCGCCGGCCCCGGCGGCCCCGGGCGCCCCGCGGCGCGGCTCCCTCCAATCGCGGGCCCGGGGCGGGGCCCAGCGGTGACATTGAGCGGCGCCCAGCGGGCCGAGGCAGCGCCATGTGGGGCCGCGCTGGTGAGTGAGGCGGGCAGGCAGGGAGGGAGGCGGGGAGAGACCGAGCCCGCGGCCGGGCCGGGGCTGCCGCCGCTTCGCCGCCTCCCCGGGAGCCCGAGCGGCCGGGCCCGGAGGCGGAGGGGCGGCCCCGGCCGGCGCTGCGGCGGGAGCGGAGCCGAGCGTGAGGGGCCGTGTGTGAGGGACTGTCCGAAACAGGGACAGGAGTGGGGCCGTGTCCGGGTGCTCCAAAGAGCTTGAAAAGGGGCCGGCTCCGTTGGGGGTGTCGCCCCTAAATGTAAATTCCTGGTTTTTCAGAGCGGGAGCGTGTTATTCCTCGAAAGTAAAGGGCCGTGGGAGAGACACCTTCCGACAGTATAACAAAGTAAAAATAGAACTAATTTTTTTATTTTTTAAAGTGCTCCTTTTGCCTTTCTGAGTTAGTTTGGTTGAGGTTTTTTTCCCGAACTTTTTTATTATATTAATTAATGCATTAGAAGCGCCTTCTTTGGAGTATGTGTTCGTATATAAGGTGCCCTGACGTTTTCTAATGCACTACAAAGTAGTTACCTCTCAGTGTAAATATTCTGCCTTTTTGATTTGACTCTGTCAATGCTTTTGGGATGTGACAGTGTTGGTAGAATGCTGGTGTGCAGTCCTCGAAATAGCACCATACTAAGTGCATCTAAAGCATATGTATAGATTAGTTTCTGGAAATTGTAATGTGTTTTAGAAATTGCTGGCAGGACATTATCTTGCTTTTGGTTTTTTTTCCTAAATTAGTTTAATTGCATTCACATTTTTCTATGTCAGATTACTGAGCAAGCTCAAGGCATACCTTATAAACAAGCTTTCATTTCTTTGGTGGGCTATTACAACTAAAACTGGTACTTCTTAGGTTCATTTGTACCTATTGGTTTTCTTTCTTTTTCTCCTCCTGTGTTAAAAAAAAAAACCAAAATGCTTCCATTTCAAAGCTGGTTTCTACTGCTCTGAGTTAAATTTGGCCTCTTTGCTTCCTCTGTTTTCTGTTCCAGATAGGGCTGTTAAACTGCTGGGAAGAAATATTCCCTTGGTTCTGAGGATGACCGAGGGAGTGGACCCGAAGATAAGCAGAAGGCTGTGTGTTAAACCCCAGCAAGACCTTCAGACAAAGAGTAAGAGTCTTTGATAAAGTCATGCAATGTTTCATGCTATGGAATACTCACATATCCATGCTGCAATCATCTGAACAGGAATTAGGCTGACACAGGTGGTCATATCCCTGATTTTGTGAGTGTTCTGGTCCCTAGACTGAAAAATGGAGCATTAAATTTGGTGAAGTCTTGTTTTCTAACAAAAAGCCAGGGGTCAATGTTTCCACTTGTGAGGGTCACACAGCATTCACTTTGTAGCAGATCACCAGAGCCTTATCTGGTGCACACTCCTACACTGAGGCTCCTCAGCTCTGCTCTGGAACTGCCTGTTCAGCCCCACTGTAAACTGTTCATGTTTAGGAATGCTGTGTGAGCTAAAAGACTTTTGCAGTTTTTCGGAGTGCAGCCAGCTCCAGCTGTTCCAAAAACTGAACGTGCCCTGCAGGGAAGAGTCTGAATTGTTCACATTCAAGGGTAGAGCTGGTCAGGGAAAGCTCAGGCCATGAAACGTTTTTTCACTGTATTTGGGACAGTTTCTGTGCTCCCTGTACCACAGGTTCCTTATGGCACACCTGTGCAGGAGAGAAGGAGCACACAGATGTGAAGCATTTGGCAGGACTCTGTGTTAAAAACATGGATCAGCTGCTCTGGGTAGGACAAAAGGTCTCCTTAAAAGTGTGATGTCTCCAGCAGGGCCAGCAAAGGAAGTCCCTTATGCTTTTGTGAAGTGGGAATGGTGACCTACAGCAAGAACCTAAGGAAGAGAATAGGAAGAGTAGGAAGAGAGTTCCTCTATACCACTGCCCCAGAGGTGGCATCTTGGTGTTTAATAATCCTCACTGGATTTCCCCCCCCCCCCCCCCCCACAAATTTGCCCAGTTTCCTGAAGCTGGATTGGATGTATTTTTAGCATCCACATTCTCTAAGAATGTGGACACTAAAATTCCCTAAGAATTTCTTCTCTAAGAAATTCCTCAGCTACAGACTTGCGTTTATTTTTTAACCCAATGTGCACTGATTTATAATCTGATTTTCCTTTATTCACTACCCCTTCCAAACCAAGACCTCATTATAATCCACACTCCCAATGTCTCTTGTAATGCTCTGCTGGGCTGAAGAGAGCTTCAGTCACTGCTTTCCAGGCCAAGGGGTCTCAGTCTGTGACACAGTTTCTCACATGGTGACCATTCCATACCTGTGCCTTTCACAAAGCTGGAGTCCCAGTTTTACACAGAGGCACAGTAATGCTATTGTGTTGGTCTGAGTTCCTGATCATTGACAGTTGTGCTGTTTTCCTTTCTGCCACTTGCCAAAACCACTGTGGGACCGCAAGGCCTTGCCCAGGCCTGGGTAATGATTTATAAGTGAGGGCAGAGTCTGTCACTTGTGTGTGAACTGGAATTGCTTCCTGCTTATGGACAAGGGAGTTCCCAGGCCAATTCATTGACTCTGGGTTCTAAAGCCCTGTGGCATTTTGGGCTCAGCCCTCTTCTTTATGTTTTTGAATAAGCTGGTGTTGTCAGCACACTGTATCCCCCCCACTCCCTAGGTAATTCATGAATCCATGAGGGAGAACATGGCCATACAGGATACTGCCTATTGTTTTAAAGGAAGAAGCTGTCTATCTTTGCACTTTGTTTCTCAGATTTTAATGGTGTTTTATATATGAAAAGCTTCCCCTGTTAGATTATGAATATTTTGTTTGTGGCCTTTGAAAGACTGACCTGAAAATTATGTGTCCAGTCTTTGCCTATGGTCATCTGTTTATTTATACCTTCAGATAAAATCTTGCACTGCCTGAAAAAGTAAACATTCTGTGATGCTATATTGGTTTTTGTTGTTATTGTGCAGCATGTTGACTTTTCTATAGCTGTTCCATTTGATTTCTTTTTTTAAACCTTATTTAAATGAAATAGAAAAACAGTACCTTAGGAACCTTAGATGCTGGAGCAGCTTCTGCATATTTAGACCTGCAGATAACAGAGGTTTTGAGAAGGATTTGGCTTTTCTAACACGGCTTCAGTTTCATCTATATTCACACATTTGTTAATCTGTGATACAGTTTCCATTCTCTAACCACTTCTAGCAATCACATTTAGAGTTCTGCCATGCTCACCTTAACTGGTTTTGTTACAGCTCTGCCCATCCAGCCTCTCTGACTGCTGGTTTTGGTGTTGTTTTGTCTTTGTGTGTTTTGTTGGGGTTTTTTTAGGTCGATCTGCTTCGGGAGTGCCTGGATACAGGCCTACACCCTGGGAGAGAAGGTTTTTGTTGTGGGCAGGCCATTACAAAAAGCCAGAGGATATTCCAGACACTGTCTCGTAAGTGTTGCTTTTGAAGCTCTGAAAAAGACTTTGTCTGTGCAGAAATAAGTTACTTGCATGCAACTCCAGAGTAACTTCTCTAAAAAGGAATGGGTTTGCACAGCTGAAAAACCTGACCCTGCTGTGTATGGTTTATCATCCTTGTAGATTAAATGACCTCAGCAATTCTCTTGTGCTAAGATAATGTATCCCTCTTGATTTTTTTTTTCCTTTTTTGCAAAGGGTTTATCAGTTGTTTCATTAGAAAACCATGTCACATCATTTCATCATTTCATTTTTACTCTTCTCTCACAATTAGAAAGCTTTTTTCAAACATTAGGGTGAGCTTTTTCTAGTGCTTTTCATTATATGTCAGTCTCTTGCGGTGGGAGTCTTTCATATAAAGCTGTAAAATAACTGAAACTCATTTAAGTATTTATTAATGAATACCTACAGGCCATGGGCCAACTTCCTTTACTGTTGGAATTTAAACTAACAAACAGTGTTAAGGCTCCCTAACTATATATAGTCAAAATTTCCCTGTTGCTGCTGAGTCCAAATGCCAAAAGCTTTGTCCCGTATGAAAAGTAGAAAATAAAATGTTCTGGTTTGCACACCAAAAATAAAGATCAAACTTATCAACAGTAGACAACTGTTAGTTTAAAAAACATTCCTAGTATAGTTATCTTTTAAAACATGCTCGTAATGCTTTTAAGGACATGTATTTATTTTAATTAAAAAGAAACGGTAAATCTTGCACTACTTGAGTAAGAAAATGATGTAGCTGCCCTCTTATATATTTTCTGTTTTTCTGGATGCACCACAGAGGAATTGAAAATCCACCCCTGTATCTAAATGTATCACAAGAATGAATTTTGGTAAAAGTGGAATCCTTCCATTTTGTATTGAATCATTTTTCTTAAAACTACATTTGAAATACATACAGGAGTAAATTATTAAAACTTACTATCACTTCAATATTTCTTGCATACCAAACACTTGTTATGAGTGTTTTTAAGAAAACAGAGTTAGCAAAGTGATTGATTTCAGTAGTTTATTGAAAGGACAAACCAACTTCTGATAAAAGCTGACCATTTCTGCAAGTGCATAGGGAATTCTTTTTATTTAGACAAATAATTCAGCCAAATCTGAGAAGACAATTGAGAACTATAAAAGCACAAAAACTTGTTTTCCTGTTCTGAGATTAATGAAGTAATTAATCTGAGATTAATTATGTGTTGTAAGGGCTTGTGCTATAACTCAGTAATCTTGTAAAAT